TTTTACTGTAAATTTTTAACTTTGAAGCAAGCTAATTTATACTTTGAATCACATGACCACCCGGTATAAAGCAACTAAAACTTTGTCTACCCGATTATCATCCCAAAAAATACGACAATTTCGAGTAAATTTCAATTTTAATTTTATTTCTATTGTAAAATTTCTTTATTAATATAAAAAATGATAGATTGATAAATAAAATAAATAAAAATCTATTTAAATAATTCTAAATATTAACCTATATATTAATTATGAATACTATGAGTTATATAAAACACTTGGTATAATTGGTTTATCAATATTGTTTGGAGAAACTCCAAATTTGTAATCCAAATCCTACAAATAATAAAAAATAGAATAATTCCAATTATTAAAAAATAATGTACATATATATATATATATAATCACAAAAAAAAAAAATTTAAATTTCTTACCAACAAAATTTTTAAAGCGTTTCTACTCTTTAAATAATCGAGATCTCTACTACTATCACCACCAATATTATCGGTTTTAGCAGCAGTAGTGGTGGTGTAAGCCTTGGCATTCCAAGGAATCCACCTTTGTAACAACTCGTAAACCATTAACGTTGTGCCAAATTGCGGCGAAGATCTGAAAACTCTGGCAGGCCCACCTTTGAAAAATGCACCAAATCCTTCTTCCTTGAGAATCTTTTTAGTAGCATCAATTATACCATTATACTGTGTTTGTCCTGTCCTGGCTTCGACTTGCAATCTGGTTTTTATAACGTCAGCAGGTGTAGTCAAATAAGCAGCTGGCATACCAGCCAACGCTCCTGATAACAACAATTCAAATATACTACATCTTTTACCATTTACGCCATCATTGAACAGATCTTTTTTTATATGTGCATAAGAAGGAAAATATATAGCACTGAATGGTATATCTCTTATTAAACATGCATTTACTCCTTTATATAACCCTACTATACCAAGACTTCTAACTATCCATATAGCTGATTTAGGCGGCACCTTTGTTACTAAATTTCTTGATAATTCCCCTTGTACTTGAAGTCGAATCTTTACTATTTCTAATGGATTTGTAAAAATCTATTGAAAAATATTAATAAATATATATAGAGCTGTTAAAAATAATAAAAAAATATTGTTTTTGAAAGAATGAAAAAACGAAAATTCAACATACCACTTGACAACCTCCTGCTGTCCCACCTGCCAAAATTTCGTATCTAGTTGGAATTTTACCAGTTTCTTTATCTGTCAAAAGTGATCTTACTAAATCATTAACTGTTAATTTGATGGCTTTTTCAGGTGCTACGCCAATTAATTGAGGACCCAGACCACTATAAAGACCCATTACACCTTCATTTTTTATAACTTTATGAAAACAATCGATACTATTTCTATATAATAATTCACCAACAACTTTTGATCTTTGATTTTGCATTCTTGTTTTAACCAAATCAATAGGATACACAACTGTTGCACCTACAGCCCCAGCTATTGAACCCATTCCAAAAGAGTAGACTTGATGAAGTACATTCCATATGAAACCAGTTCTTTCACCAGTCACCTTCTTTAATTTTTCACTATCAATTTCTATTAAAGGTTTAATTACTGGTGGCCTTTGCCATTGCTGATCCAATAATTGAACAAAATCTTTCTTGCCTAATCTACCAGAGGGATTTCCTAAACCAGCAAAATGAAATATTATATCGGTTTCTAAAGGAGTGAACAATGAGAATCTTGTTTCTTTTGCAGCTGTGTTAAGAAAATCATTTTTAGTGATTCTACCATCTTTACTCTCAGAAATAGCCTTCATCACAATTCTTTCCACCATGTCCATTTGCCTCAACACATTATGAAAAGCAACTACTGCTGCATAACTTATTTTTTTGGTTGTTGATACGTTACATAAAGTAGGCAAATGTTCTAAAACGTAATCGGATAATTTATGCTTTGATATTGAAAGAATCATTTTTTTGAATTCGCCAGGCTTAATATAACCAATACCCTCTTTGTCATAATATTTGAATTCTTGACGCAATCTTTCACCTTGTAATCCTTTCAACAACTGAGTAAATTCCTCATAAGTTAAATCATGTTTTAGACCAGGTTTTTTCCCAACATACAATTTCAACCAATCACAATCAAAGTCAAAAGGTACACTATCAGGTTCTAAATTTGATGTTAATATCTTTTTAAATTGATTGATGGTAATTTTGCCTTTACCTTCAACATCAAATAATCTAAAAGCAATTTCATATTCTGCATTAGGTTTTGATAACAGATTTTCAAATATAATAAAATCTTGTAAAGAAATTAAACCTTTATTACTAGTGTCAGCAACTTTAAATAATATACCAAATTGTTCTTTTTTAATTTTTTTGTAATCTTCGCCTGGTGCTATGGCTGCTATGAAATCATCTTTATTCATGTACTTTTTACCATCAATTGTCACTGATGAATGAGTTTCAAATGATCTTTTTTGTCTATTCAAGTTGGAATCTCCACTAGAGGTTGAACTGCGTATAAGTTCAAGAGATGATGATGCAATAAATGAGTTAGTTGCTTCTTGCTCTAAACTGATGTTTGCATTTTTAATTTCTGACATTGTTATTGTATTTATTATTATCTAGTGATTGAATAATCTATCTTTCCTCCTCTACTATTATATATATGTATAAGTTGTCTAAAAAAATTTTTTTCAATGTCAACCAACAACATGTAATTAATCTACAGTACATAAATTTCAGCGTGTAACTAGGAAAACATTTGATAATATTCGAATTTGATTGGATAATTTTATGAATTCAAATGTCGCACGGCACGTAAACCTGACAAAAAAGGAAGCTCTTACCACATTAAAAACCCGTTTTTTATTTGTTTGTGTAGAAACTAGCGAATTTGGTTAAATCAAGATCGTTTAATTATCGATTTATGGATCTGTGCGAATTTCATATCCAAACACCCCACCCAAAATTTTAACTATAAATTTCGATTTCACATTAGTTTCAATTTCATATACAACAGATCTATATAAAAATGCATAAGTAACTTTGGGATTGGCTTTGAATGACAAATGTGGGTGTTTAATATTTTTTATTTTTTTCCTGTTAAACCTTTCGCATGAATATGTGATCCATTTTCAAGTCACTAGTCAAATTTTGTAATAAAATCGTTACTATAATATTATCTTCTACAAAATCAATTAGTTTGGATCATTGTTTAATAAAAGAATAATTGTAATTAAACATAATTATTTTTGTCCAGATTCAACAATCATCTTTATTTATTGTTTTTTTCACAAATTAGTTAGTATTTTTCTTGCTATAGCAAGGATACACAGACAGACTTTTGATATTTTATATTTCAAAAAAAAAAATTTTGGTTTTGAAATATAATTTCTTAATTGATCACCTGTAATAGATGTTACTTCATCCATACCAATCAACCACTGTATTAATCATGCACCAAATATTTTCTTTTTGGGTACTCCAGTTTTTTCCAAAACCAATTTTGTATCCTATAATGTTTTTGATTAGAGTGATTAGTGCCCAGGACTTTGTGGTAAATTTTGCAATTTAGCCAATATAGACAATTAAATTCCCTTTATTAAGTAAGATACTCATGATTTCTAATCTACATGTCAAGTCATCAAAATTTGTTAATCAGTTATCAAATTGTGCGCTAACCGTTGAATTTTGCACAGACGGGTAAATTATCATCACCATCAGAATTAATAGGTAGGGAAACTTTGATAATAAAGATATTATAACAGAGGAGTGAAGCAAGTATATCCGATTAGTCTTTATGAAATTATTTTAATAATATTTGCTTCAAGACATACAGTGTGTTGCAAAAAAAATTGGCCAAGAAAAATTCACAATTATTCAATAATGAATATATCAATTCTAATTTAGTAAAATTTATTAGAAAGCTGAAAAAATATGGTTTTATTTATATAAAGTTCAACAAGAAATTCTTTCTCCATTATTTTCAATTATAAGTGCACACCTGTTTTTCATTGAATTAATAAAATTAATTAAGAGACTATTTAGAATTGCATTCCACTCTCCTATCGTTGCAACTCAGCCAAATTATTTGGCATTCATAATTCTGTGTTCCTTTTGACAATAGCCCATAAAATTTCAAGTCAGGGCTATTGGAGGGCCAATCAATTACTTTTGGGACATTTTCTTTTAAGAATTCTTTGGCAAGACGACTTGTATGCTTGGGATTGTTGTCTTGCTGAAACCTCCAATTATCCCAAGCATACTGTTGATTTCTTGAAGGTGCTTTTCAAGTATTTCAACATAAAATTTTGCATCCATTATTTGCGTAAAACAAAATAAAACTTGTTTTCCCCCTAATGGAAAATCCGGCCCAGGCGAAAATTTTTTGTCTGTTTTTTGGAGTGGTCTAATTGGCACGGTGAACCTTTATACCAATGCTTAATTGTGTTGCTAAATAATTGAAATGCAGTTTCATCACTAAATAAAAGTTTTTAGATGAATCACAACAACAACCACAAACTTATTGAAAACACTGATGATGGATGATATTCAACAACCCAACATCATTTTCAACAACAATTCAACAACATCATTCAACAGTCAAGGCCACACAACATAGCATTTGTAAATATTTGAATAATTTGATAATGGTGCTCACAATGTGAACTTTGTAAAGATAGGTTTGGTAAAACACTGAAATCAGCACAATAAAATGTCACTTTGAGAATAAACATAGAAATAAATACTTATTGACAACAGCATTACCAAACAACATTAAATTTTGAAATCACTGATCCATATGACCCAAAAGTAAAAACTTTCATTATATTTTGTTCAAGTATTTTTTGTTGGATTTGTTACTCAATACAAAAGATGTAGTTAAGCGAATGTTTTGTAGGTTTCCCAACAACATGTCTCACATAACTTTTTTTTTTGATGTTTTTTATAATTACAAATACAACGTACATAATATATATATATATATATATAAATGTTTTTTAAATGTTTGAAAAAGATTTGGGATTTTTTGAGACTAAATTTATGGAAGGGTCATCCTATATACAGAACCTATGTGACAAATAAGAATTTATTTTTGGAGTTGGTAAGCATTCCATAACTCCTACCACCCCAAGCCTCACAAGATTAATCGTCACATATAGATAACTGTCACGAGGATGTTACAAAAATTTGAGCCATTTCCTTTTTTATAGAATAAATTTCCATTTTTGGTAGGGTACTGTATATTTCAAAAAAAGAACCTTACTGTATATAGGATATTCCTTTATGGAAAAGTAAAATGGGTGTTTTAATGAGAATGATTTCTGAAAAATCCATAATAATTGATCAATATCCATAATCTTGATTTTCCTCTTCTATTCTAACAATATCATCTTTAAAAACAATTAATTTGGCCCTTTGAATAAATTCCTTGATTTTAATCATTGCCCTTTTCTCCATTTGTTTCCACTCCACTTGATACTAAGCAATCAAATATCAAATGTTGCAATGTTACAACATATCCGTAATGCTGCAACATGCCGTAACTTTACATATTATACATAGTGTTGCAACATAATCACGATGCAATTGGACCAATTTTCTATTCATATTGTCTCCCGCTTTTAAAAACATTATTATTATTATAAACATTTAATATTAATTAAAATGTAATTATTAGAACAAAACATACACAAAAAAATTGAATTCATTTATCTATTCATCCTCTAATCGCTGTAAATCAGCATGTGGATCCCATTAAACCATATCTCCACTTTCATCTATATCGCTTTTCTTGATATCCAAGATTTAATGCTTAAAAAAATTAATGAAAAACGGGTTGGAAAGGTAATGCACGCATAATAAACATCACACCTAAAGCTTTATTGATTGTTTTATGCATGATTCTTCTAAATCAACTGAACAAAAATAACCATCAATATGACGTTGTCCAGAATGTTCGGGAGTTTTCCTTGTTTAGAAATGGGAATTTTGTATAATCAATTCATTTACTTCATTTTTGATAGTTTAATATGCTTTTGAGTATTGAGAAACACGAGAATATAAAAGATATGGGTCGGGCATCTTTAAAAAGTGACAAACATAGCTTACACGTAACTTGATAATGTCAATTACCAAGATGGTTATCACGTGTAAAATATTCCCAAATATCACTCCAATTTTATTTTTGTTACAAGTCATCATCCTTAATTATTATTATATTAGGTGGGGAAAAGAAATAATATAATTAGAAAAGTAAGGATCAACTTTTTATTTGTATAACAAATATTACAACATTACGGTTAGTTGCGAACTCTATTTGATACATCATCATCATCAACATACCAAAGTTTTACTTGTGAATATTTAGTTTTTCAGAAATACAGAATTTCACATGCGTATTCCTCCTCAAAACCAAGACTATGCCTGATTATTAATATTACTGATACATGAGATCGCGGAGAAATTAAATAAAAAAAGTAATGAATCGCCCTCTTCCTCTTCAACTCTACAAATTGTAAGAATCCTTTGCTGTACAACTCTGATTTTCCAGATAAGAAAGATTTGCGTTAAATTAAAAAACTAATATTTCTCTCAATTATTATTTGGGGAAGAATGTCGCCACCGTTAATATTTTTAGTAGATTTAATTGGTGAATGAGAGAAAAGATCTGCATTTTTATAATAAATTTTGGGGCAAAATATCAACCTTTGCACAAAAATTGTACTATTATACTTTTTATGTATGAATAAAATTAACCTTAAAAAACAATTATATCTAAAAAATTAACACAGTTTGTGCAGATTTTGGGGCCTCTCTCATTCATTCGCGCAGATCGGCAATTAAAGAAAGTTCCAATTGTCATACGAGCAAATGAATTCTCTTCCATTCACTAGCATTAATATATACAAATTTGGACACGTATAAAAATGGTATCCATGATCGAATCAATACCCTTGTCGCCTTATAAATGGCTTGATAAAATTGATTATCTATTCGATTGATTACATTTAAACTGTTCATAAATAAGTATTACACATTCGAGACTACTAAAACACAATGTTTTTGGATTGAATATTTGGTTTATACAAATTCATAAAATCAGTTGCTAGAATATAAACGAATATAAAAATTCACACAACAGATAATGGGGACTTTGTGGTGGAGCATTGACGTCTACAAGCCCTTCCTCTTCTGTTATGAAATAAATCATTCGATCTTCTCCATCTTTTTGTATAGGCGAAGAAGATTGTGAGTAACCACGCAGACAGCCGTATCATATCGCCAACGAGGAGCTCTTTGGTGTTTCGATCCCAGAATATGTCCATAACATCATCCTTCACATACAGCTAGCAGAGGAAATTCTCAAGATCATCATTACAAGGAACTGTTTTAATGGTATTTGTAGTCGGAAGTTCCATGAGCCTTCCTTTGGAGGTCGTATGTGTTATCTCCTGCTCCTAAGCAAATTTAATTTGAGCATCATGCAGGGCAAAAGTAAGGCTTATTTTTGATAAAAAAAAAAAAGACCGACGAGAAGAAGAAGATTACCTTTATCCTCGTCCATTGCAGAAAAATCAACTTATAGATTTCATCACAAACTTCTCAATAAGTCATACCATTAATTTTTTAAGGGTTTTAATCCCCTTGCTACTCATATAAATTCTGTAAACGAATGATATTTGATACAAAGACAACCTTCATCGTAATGTTGCCTTATAATTACAATCTTTGTCTAGGTATTCTACACCGTCAAAAGTCCATCCTACATACAAGATCAAATTTAATATACGGTATAGGTGGTTTGAAATGATGTGGATGTGCTTGTCGAGTGGTTTGTTGGTGAAGTAATTACTGATCTTCCTTGTTGCGAGAAGTTGATCATCGTCATGGATTATAACGTTATTTATTTTATTGAACTTAATAATTTTACTCAAATGATTATATATCTAATCATTCAATGTAATTGATTACAAGTCATTGGTTTAATTTGAATAAACTTTATTCAAATCGAAACTTAATATGAGTTTACGTGTCTTTTGAAAAAATTTCATAATTTCGTAATACACAAAGCTTTACATGCTAGGTGAAGTATTGCCTAGAATCCCTTTTTCTGCCCGATAATGATTCATTTCTACAACCAGAAGGAACTCGAAGGTGCAGCAACAACACAATTACTTTAAGTATATGAATCCATAAGAAATTGATGAAGAGAATTAATTGCCATTTTTGATTTGTTATTTGTTTCCGAGTTTCTTTTAAATAGTTGTGAAACGTTGAATAATAATATACATGTTAGAAAAAATTCGGAAGCGGGATAATCAAAGCACACATTCTTCATGCTTGTCTCGGATCATGGATATTCATTAGTAAGTTTTATATATTATTTATATGTTTTGTGATTTCTCAAATAAGTATCTCGCTCATCTAGAGAACGAAAGATAAACGCAACGTATGCACTAAAGGAATTTACATGGATTGAATGTTTACAATGAGTAGATTTGTTTAAAATCATTTACTAATAAATCCATAGAGGCGAAAATTCATTGATAATACAATACGTTAAATGATATCGTTTATATAATTTCTTACCTTGGAAACAATTAAACTGTAAATTTTAATTTACCCAGATTAAAAAGACTTGTTTCTTTCTATTTCTTCCTCCCGCATAATCTCACGGCTTTTAAGTGCCTATGATAAGAATAGAGGAAACGATTATTTAGAGATTAACCATTTTTTCATTAAAATTAATTTTAATTGGCTTGGAAGTGCGAATATCCTTTGGTATAGTTTTTCTATAATTGAATTGAATCAAAAGATGTAAAAAATTTTCTCAAAGTCATGATAATAATTATTATTGATTGATAATAATAGTTATTATTAACAATTATTTTCAGAAACGTTCGTTATTTTAAATAGAAAAAAAAAAGAGTAAGAACTTAAAATCTCTGTTCGTTATAGAGAGTATGAACTGTACACAATGAGTTTAAACGAAATAAAGTTTTATTAAACATATATTAATTTGTTTAATATCCCTCTAAATTTTATAAATTATTTTAATTATATTATATACAAATACTTTTAAAAAAAAATAAATTAATAATTTATTACAATAAAAAAAATTTCCTATAATGTTAATGATTTCCTTGGTATTTCTCTACGAGATTCTTCTTCAATAATTCCAGCAAGCTAATTTTTTTTAAAAAAAAGTCAATAATTAATAATTATGTAAATTATTTATGTAATAAATATTATATTGTTGGTAACTATTTTTACCTTCAATATTTCAATATCAATATATTTTCTTCTATGTCCATGTTGTCTCTTTGTCACATTATCCTCCAATTTCCATTCTTTCCTTTGTTTATCAAGAGCACCAGCACTACCTAATCCAATGACTTCAATGTCCAAAACTTCAAATGATATATCAAAATAACCCCTTGTATTAGATAATGAGTAGGTGGGTGATAATTCTCTTAACGCGTCATTGCGATATCTACCAAATTGAAGACTATTATCAAGCTGAAGCACAAATGAATTTAAGTCTGGTGATACTATCTTACTAGAACCTTGACCTGCAGTGGCCAAACCACCAAAACCAATACCAAATGAAGGATTATAATATGCATATCTTGTATTATTTTTAGTGGCTGGGAAAACTTCTAAAGTTGGCCAAATTTCAAATAAAAAAAATTCATCTGATCCAAAACATGCTTTAGGTAAATTGGTTGTACGCCATGGCTCTGCTACATAAGCACCTAATAACAAAGTTTGTTGTTGTGATTCTGATTCTGATGAATTTTCATTATTATTTTCTATTTTGGTTGTAGTTTTTTTTGCTGTAAGAGTGGTAGAGAACAAAGTTTGTTGATTTGTTATGATTGCTTGTATTAAAATTAACGTTGGGCCAGGATATTTAAATAGACGACTGGAGAAACAATTCATGCTGAAACCGTGTGAGCTTCCTATAAATAACCGATTCCAAACACGTTTCTTCATCGCTTTATCTGGTAACATCCATGACAATATTGCCATATCTATTGGATCCAAGATTTCAGATTGATGATCCAAAGTTGGCCAATAATAAACTATTTCTGTTCGTCGTGAAAGCGTTTGACCTATCAAAAACCGATTATAGAAAAATCTAGTAAAGCCATGAAATATATTTGGTAGATTTCTTTCGATAAATTTTTTAAAAATTAACCAAGTAATATCAGAAGACGATTTTGTTGACTCTTTATTTGGCTCAAAGGATTTATTATTATATCTTGACATATGATCAACAATTGGTACGATAGCATCACGAATTTGATTTATATTTTGCAAAGATATTAATTTATTAGTTGATTCTTCTGATGCTGTTGTTAAAGACATTTCAGATGACATAATCCAAACAATAGCTGTCAATACTTTTACCAAATCTTGAGATTGAACCTTAGGTGAGTTGTCTTCATCACTTTGATCAACATCATATAATTTAAGGAAATCGTCATCATCTTTAGAAATAGTAGTGGAAGAAGTTTGTGATGGTGTTTCTGAAGAAACACTTGATCTATTATTAGAACAATCATTGTTGCTGTTGTTATTATGATCAAGAGGGGTCGAAAAAGAATCAAAAATAAGTTTTAATCGATCTTCAGTAATTACTTCTTTGAACTTATCACAATAAATTGCAACAGCTTTTATTAAACCATTATAAGTTAAATTATGATTAATTGATGATGAGGGATAATTGCCAAGATTGATAAATGATCGATAAATTAATGGTCCTGCACCAATCTCATCGGGAATGTTTAAATAATCCTAAATAAACATCAAAAATTTAAATTTTAACATGTAGAATATATATAACAAATTAACAACAACAACAACAACAATTTTGTTTACCGTAAAAGATTTTTCATCAATGTAATTAATATTGGTGGATTCGTTTAATTTACATAGATTATCAAACGATACTCTCAATGAATAACTTTCCAAGTGACTGAAATGGGTTTGTAATAATTTAGATGATACTTTATCTATTACATTAATAGCATTAACATTATTATTATTTCTGGTATCTTTGGTCAAAAGGGTAGAAATAAAATTCAGAGCACTAGAATTTTGAATTTGTGGTGTAATTGTGGCGATGAGATTACTTTGAATTTGACCCATTTTTTCTTGAGAGAAAATTTTTTAGCAATGTGGGAAAATTTTTTTGGTAATATTTAAAATTTTAATGTATTACGTGTTTTTTTAATATAAAAGTGGGGTAAGCATACAATGACGCCCTTGATTTCATTTATAGTCAGGTGGGGAATAAAAAGAAAGTTTATTTAAATTCGCACCACATAATTTTAATTTTCTAAAATATACAATTCGTGGCAATTGGACATTCAACTATATCCCTTTTTTGGTAATTGAGATATAACTGTAGACGTGTGATTGGCTTGTCAACACCAGGATTTTTCAAACTAACCAAACCTTTACCGTTTGGCGCCACCAATGAATTGATAGAACTTATTGGGTTGATTTATATAATTAAGAGTATTTATTAATCTAGTAATCTTAAAGTTATAAGTATTTTGTACCGATAATATTTATTAGTTTATTAATTTTATGAAGATGAACTCATATTGCTACGAGACCCTTATCACATATCTTTATACAATAGTAATAGTAATAATAGTTTTTTTTTGTAGGAAAAATATCAAAATATTCTAGTTAAAGCAAACCAAAATTGGAAATCATCTACAATGTTTAAATTCCATTCAATAAAAAGAATAAAAAAGCAAAATTGATTATGTATTCCTGCAATGTCTTGCAGGATTTAGCAATGGTGCTGATCCATTTGGGTCATTGGTGTAACATTACATTTTAACCATATTTAGTATTTTATTAATGTTTATTAAATGGTAATGGACCCAGCCTATTGTTAACCCCACCTATGGTGCAGATCATCTATAATCAATTAATTGCTTATTGTTAATAGTAAGTATCGATTTTTTTCTTAAACTAAAAGTTGGCGTGAAATGGAAACGACTTTATTTCGTTTTAGTTAGATGTTATTTTTTTTATGTTAAAATTTCGAGTTGATCGTGCAGATTTCTTGGCTCGAGGACTTTTTACATTGTTGGGATTATATATAGAATGTGCAATTGTAATAACCGCAAAAAAACGCTTTTTGGGAAGCGTGAGAAGGTGTGTATTGATTTAAATGATCGACACCCATAAAAAATGTCGTTTTTTTACTTTGCTAGCTAGGTATGTGAAAACCACATTATTGTTATTATAGAAGATTTGACGTAACTTGTCACGAACGAAGCAACTATTTATTTATTTATTTAATATAAAAAAAAAAAAATAATAATAATTAAAATTGCAAGACCGTGATTTTCATTCACATATGATATCGTCCTGATTTATTTTCTATCAAGTGATTCATTGCTATACATCGTTAGTATTAGAAGGAAGTAAGTGATGGTAATCCAAAACTTTGATGAGTTCGAGAGCCTTTATAAAATCATTGCATGACAAGTTTACGTTCCTTGAGCCGTGCTCAAAATGGGAAGATGTAAAGATTAATTCACTTTCTAGAGATGCTTTTAGAGTCAACCAATCAAATAATCAAAGGTATGAACGTTTGTAAGAAAGGCCTTCACTTATACAGTGCAATGCTCAACAGTTTGCAAACAACAACGACATGATTTCCTGTGCAATCGAAGTTACAAGTTCTATTAAAAGAAAATCATTACCAAATTTGGTCATATAATGATTTTTAATATGTGGATCACATGATATTTCAAAAATTTTATAGATGCATTTTTCGTTTTTTAGTTGAAAGAAAAACTCCAACTCTTCCTTTATTATTTTAATATATTAACCACCCTAATTGCATCTGAAGTTATATTTACCAATTCAGGATTATATGTTGACATTACTATATACAAGAAGAAATTGGGCATAATAAGAAAGCAATCTTTGTAAATCATAATTACGACAAAAAACAAAATATTAATTAATTAAAAGGGATCAATTATTTATTTTACTATTCTAGATATATAATTATTATTAAATAATGGGATACGGTAAAAAAATACATTCTTTTTTTAAAATTATTGTATAAAGTAAATTTCTAATAAAATCAATCATAAATATTAGGTAGAGTCGGATGGTGGAAGTCATGAGGAGTTGGGAATAGTGGTGGAAGAGGTGAAGTATGTATATTTATAAATGAATTTATATTTGTATTTTGTTTAGAAAAATTATAAATAAAATATCCAACATATTTACATAATTTTTTTAGGTCGAGATGGTGGTGGTGGCAGTCAAGGGGGTAGAAGATAAAAATCATGGGGGTACAAGAGGTGGAACCAAAGTAATAATTGAAATACATAGACATGAAGCGCTTTTATTGCACGTGGAAAAGGAGATATGTTGTTGACTAAGAAATTTATACCAGATGAATCGGTATATAGAGAGAAAAATATTTTCAGTTGAAGGTCAAGATGGTGTCAAGTTAGGATATCGAGTTTGGAATCCATTTAGATTCAAGTTGGCAGCTGGTTTCCTAGATGGCATTGATCATATCTATATAGTTCCTAAATCTAAAATATTATATCTAGGTACTGCATCTGGTACCACTGTTGACATGTTGCTGATATAGTTTGTCCTGTAAGTGTGAGATTTGGTCTCATTATTAGGAATGTGTAATTATAATTATAATTATTTATTTAATTATTTATTCGCACAAATAGTTGGATTTTCATCTAGATCAGGATTTGATTTAGTAAATGTAGCCAAAAAGGGTCAATGTTATATTATAACAACAATTGAAGATTCATGACACCCATACAAGTATCACATGTTGGCTGGAATGGTAGATATAATTTTTGCAGACGTGGCACAACCTGATCAAGCTTGTATTATTGCACTGAATGCACATCATTATCTAAAAATAATGCTCATATTGTAATCTCAATAAAGCAAATTGTATTGATTTCACCATAGATCCTACTAAACGATTACAAGAAGAACACAAAAGCAAATGACTTTGGAACCATATAAACATGATCATGTTTTAATTGTTGGAAGATATATAAGATCAAAATGATAATATGTGATAAAGATAATAATTATTTTTAGTGGTATTAAAATAGTAAAATATATAATGTTGTAGATATTGTTATATTCTATTTATTATGGGATGAAATATCTTTTTGGATACATTCTTCAGTCCTGACTTTATCGTTTAATAACAATAAGATAAAATTTTGCACCATATTTAAACCTTTCTTTTCTTTAGCCTATTGTCATACTTTAGTTGTTTTGGCACTGGGTACTTTTGGGTATAATACTCGATATCTGTTTTAAAAACTTTTGTTAGAAATTAACCTGATGGAATATAGACAATTGAGAAATTTCTTGTGAATGATTTTTTTTGCACCTCAATTAAGATCGTTTGAACAATTTATCTTCTCATTATAAATATATCATCAATAGTTCCGATAAGCAGAACAATGGTGAATCATCAACAAGTGATGGTCAGCTTTAGATGAAGGACAAACAGTACTCATTTGTGTGATCATTTAATTATTATTTTTATTGGTGCTTAATCCCTTCTTTTCTAAAAATTAATAAAGAAGAACATCAATAAAGAAACATATCTAATCTACAATATGTACAATAATAAAAAAATAATTTGTTTTACTAACAATTTTTTTTCTATATATAAAATATACAAGATTGAAAAATATTTTTCTCGGGGGAAACTCTTTGATACAAAAAGGTGTAAAATTTTCGTTTTGTGATCATTATCCAATTAAATTTGATTTTTTGAACTAAAGTTTCTTATTAAATGATCTTTTAAATCCTTTGTCTTTTTATACTTTAATTCCTGTTTCTTTCCATTTGCACCAGCATAAATATTACTGTTGCTGTTGTTTCTCTCTGATCCCGAGTAATTACACCTATAATGATTACTATTACTATTATTATTATCGATTTCCCAACCCTCATAATCAAAAACTTGATTAAATCCTTGATTGTTACTGTTATCAATAATAATATTCGAAAAATTCTTAATACCAATTTCTGGTGTTAGATAATTTTGTAATGTATTATTGCCAATATTATTTTGGTTACTGGTATTTATTATATAATTGATATTGGTATTGGTATTGGTATTGGTATTATTCTTATTATGTAGAAATTCATAATAAAGTAATTCTTCAATGTCAATTTCTAATAAACTTTTAATAAATTCCAATGTCGTATCTTTTATCATTAGATTTCTCTTACGTGATATTGAAAAGGTAGGTGATGATGGTAGAGACTGGTTATAATCATTACTATTAATTGATTTATAAAATTTTTGTACAAGAAAATTTGTTGAATTATTATTACTAGTATTATTATTGTTGTTACCAAGATTATTAAAATGTTCAGTAACATAACCATTTACGTCAATGGGGCCGAGTTTTTCTAGATATTTAAATAGCCAACCAACAGAAAGCTCCCGAGCTTCATTAGAATAATGAGCGGTATGTTCGCCAATTTCTTTCCTCATGGTATCAGCTAGATTACTTCTAATGAATCTAGAAAAACTATTCTCTAATAATACAAATACTGCTTGTTTAGCATCACGAAAACAATATCTTAAATCACGCTCAGATTTTATTGCTGCAATTGTTAATTTACGTACTCTGTCATCTATATTCACTTCAAACTGTGAATTTCTTGTTAAATATGTGTCAAAAATTTGTTGAGCCATTACCAATTGTTGCGTTGAGTTATCATATTGTTTTGATTCATATTGTTCAACTTTTAGGAAAAAAAATAGATTTTCTGACGAATATTCTTCCAATAATGAATACAAGAAATAAAATAATGGTATTTTGGAATTTAAAATCGCTTTCAATCCTTCTTTTTCTATTTCTCTTACACAAATGTCAATTGGAGGCTTTGCACCAAAGAAATTTAATAATTTTTGTGATGTTAATTTTGTACGATGTTTATATTCAGAATGAGTGTTATAATGAAGATTGCTGCTGATATTAATTGATGATGATAAGGATGATAAGGATGATGAGGATGATGTAGATGATGATGTAGATGAAATAGATGATGATGAATTGTTATTTTTGTGATAGTTACTTTCCTTTATTGATAGAGAATGTTTTGGTTGAGATGATAACGATGAGGAAGTTGTTGATGTTTGAAAATAAAAATCGTTGAATTTGGTAAAATCTTGAAATGAATCATTGATTTCCATTGGTAATAATAATGCCGTTGTCGTTAATTTAGCATTTGCTTTAATTTTATTTATCATTGATTTATTATGATTATTACTATTGTTATTATTATTGGATAATTTTATTGTGGTTGAATCTATCATTACAATTGAATTTCTTCTTGTAGTTGATGTTATAGAGTTAATAGAGACAGCCGATCCACGACGTTTTGAAATAATATTTGGAGTTTTTGAAGATAAAAGTAATTTTATGTCTTCTTCACTAATAGAATCAATGAAAAACGAAGGTGTAGAACGACGACGTGTGTTATTGATATATGATGATGATGACATTTTTTTAATAAAATTTTTTGATAACTATACAAAAATAAAACAAATATATGCGAGAGGAGAAGAAAAATAAGAAAAAATTTTAGGATAAAAGGAATCTTTTATTCTATTTTATTTATAGAAAACAATATAATCGAATTGATGTAGTTGATGATAATTTACGATTGTTTAATTGATTATGTTTCAACTGTGTAATACAAAATTAAATTCAAGAATTTAAAATAATAGTAATGGTAATAATAGTAATAGGGAGAAATTTAGATTGTTTACAGTTTCGGAAAAACATTTGGACACACGCTTTTGTATTTTTGTGTCTTAGATAGATATTACTAACAATACTATCTATCGAATCCAAATATCGTCGTCAATTGTTTATATTTATTACTTTATTATTATTATTAATTAAATAATAAAGAAATTAATTCTTTATTTATTATTATTATTAGAATCATGGAACATAGAATTTGCTTGGATTTTTTAAACCTAATCTTAATATATAGTAGTTTCATTATAATTGAATGATTATCCAATCAGAACCTGTATAAATTTATAACTTGCAATCCCAAACCCGAATTCAACCCGCTTTTTATTAACAACGTTGTAACACGATTTTATTTAAAAAATAACTTCTATTGCAATTATTAATTACAAGAAAGAAAAATTTACTATAATGAGCTTTTTAATACAAGAATACTATCAATTGTTTGTGGATTTAAATTTGAGCGAAGCTCATTAACTGTAAGCCCAGCTGCGTTAAACTCTTTTTCACTAGGTGCACCGGAACATGGAATTGAAAGATAATAAATAGGCAGCAAGCCTTGAAAGTCTTGGATAAACATGTATCAGTGTGTTGTTTTAATGATCTGCCCATTCATATTAATATATTAATATGGATTGATGAATGAAATCATAGAATGTTTAGATGATTGAATTAAAAAAATATATATAATTCATCTCATTAATTGTTTATTATATCATCATCATCATCATTATTTTTAATCATTGCCTTTATTTGAATACAATAAAATTTATATATAATTTTTTAAATGAAAAATAAACAAATAAATAATAAATAAATTTTTATAAATAGAATATACATATAGAAACAAATTATGAATTTAATGCATTTAGAATAATGGGATCTTCATCCAATTCTTTAAAATCAGTAAAAAGTGAAAATAATCCTTTAGGCAATCCTTGATTCAACTTTTCAATTCTTTCATGGAACATTTCTAAAGGTGTTTTAAGTATTTCAGGTGAAGGTGATTCAGTTTTTGTGGGAGAAGTTGCACTTGTTGATGGCAATTTAACCTCTGATGGAGGTTTAGGCATTGTAGATTTAGATGTATCTGGAGTTGAAGTTTTGAGTAGATTTGAAAGTCCTCCTTGAAGTCTCTCAGCAATGTTACTTGTCATTCCTGGACTTAATAAACCTTCTTCTGCTTGTTTTGAACTACTATTATCACTATTATCAGAATTTTGTGGTATAACATTATTTTCTAGTTTTTTATCATCTTCTTCCATGTAATAATCACGAAGTTTGCTATAAATTCCTGTAAAAGTTTTAGCATAAGAATGTTTTGGTTTTTGTGGTGGAAGACCTTTTACACGTGAGGTTGTTACGTCACGAACAAATATTCGAATAATTCGATCAGGATGTTCTTTTGCAATTGTAACATAACTAATATTTAAGAAAACAAACTATTGATATATTTATAAATATATAAATAAATGAATAATAATAAAAAATATCAATTTACATTTCTGGATCGAGTTCACCAGTGTCACCAACAAGAATAAATTTGCGTTTTGGAAAATCCTATAATATAAAAATCAAAGCTTTTTACAAATTAATATCATTTTTTTTTTCTTTAAAAATATTAGGCAAATATATAAATATTACTAACTGACTAACCTTTAATAATTCTCTTATGTACATGAATTTACTTGCCATTGGATTTTCTTTTTGTTCTACTGCACTTTTTATCAACCCATCATAGAATTTAAGATGAGCAGATCCAGGTGGGAAATTATAAGTGTTGAAAAAGGAACGTAATGCCGGGAATAATTGCCAAGGTGAATTGGATACATAATGAATGCCAACTCCTCTATCATACTTTTTGTTTGTTATACAAAAAAAATAATTTTAATTCTTTTAAAAAAAAAACTAAAAAATCCATAATTTATTTACATACCCATTTACGATAAAGTTCAGCCATTCCAGGAACCTTTTTTTTAATATAAATTGTGTTATTATTGAATGAAAATAAAATAAAAATAAATAGACTGAACTTTAAAAAGGACCCACATCTTTAAATGGTCGTATAAATGTATTGGAAAGTATCACTTTCACACCATCCAAAATCTCTGTATCTTTAATGGTATCATCAATATCCTAAAAAAATAAAATTAATTGAATAATCAAATAATTAAAATAATGAATAAATTTTTGATTGTTAGAGATAATTACTGAAATAACAGAAACTCCTTCTGGTTCAATAAGATTAACAACACCAAAAGCAGGCATAACTAAATTTTCAATGTAATAAATAAAATTAATTAATTAATTACCACCATTTGCATGCAAAGAGCTTTATATATATATAAAATTAAATTACCAATTTTATCTTGAAATGCTTGCATCTTAAGTAATTTAATTTTCTTACTGCCAGCTTCTCGCGTCAAGTTATCACCACTAGATGGCTCCAAATGACCTTTAACCATCCACTCTTCAACATCTTTCTCTGGGACAGAAAGAATATCCGAAAAATGTCCAGATTTAGGAGTAATTTTAGTACTTAATATTTCACCTGCAGCAGCAAGTTTATCAGCAAATTTCTCCATTGGATTTCTGTCTTCATTTTCCTGACTTTCAAGGCGCAAGTCATTTGGATCACCTTCAAGTGTCATTTTATTTGAATCTGTTAGATCAATAACTTGAACTGTGTAATCTCCTTGGCTCATATTGCTACTCCAAAAATATTCAGTGCGATCTTTTAAACATTCATAACTCAAATCTGTTTTTGATATTCCAACAACCCTTGAAGTTATATCTATAATAATATTTTTAATTAAGTTAGTTACATAGATAATTTTTGGATAAATTATGATTTTTGACTTACCCAAAAAAATACTGTGCATTCTGCTTGATTTGGGAATTGAAAATGCCCAACCACGAACTCTAATATGCCATTTATCAGTAATAATTGAAGTGCCTTTTCATGTATATATAAATATATAAGTTTTGCCATATGTTAAGAATTATGAATATTTTATCAAATATTATTTATATATGCATTAATTAACACTGCTTACCATCAACAGTATCATGTTTTGTTGCATAAGTAGGAAACAGCAAACAATTTTGTAGAACCTCTTCTGTATCCTCTTCTTTCTCCTCTTTCACTTCTAAAGAAGCAGCTTTAATATCAATGTTGGCTATATGACCTGGGTCAATGGCATCATTATTATTAGTTGACATCTTTTTTTGATTTTTTAGATATTTTTTTTTTAGGTAGATGATATATATATTAAAATATATACTATTTTAGATAATTTATAGATAACGATTATCTAAATATGGTGCAAATCATCTAAAGAAATCACGTGCTGCACCACTTGCCGAGAAATTTTGCCAAGAATTTGTAAAGAGATCTGTGACTTTACCACGTGAATAGTTATTATAGTTGCCGGAATTTCAAATAACATAGTAATAGTAATAGAGTAATAGTAATAGACACTAATCAGTTGGGAAGTGTGTTTTCCTGAAATTTTTTGGTGATCAACGTCGAAATTCTATTAATAAAATTAGTCACAAACCTTAATATTAACTTTAACTCTTTTTTTCTCAGCAATCTCCACCAAATTCGACACGCATATTTTTCGGGACTTATTCCTTCTTTTAGAAAAAAATTAGGGAGGTTATTAATAAAATACGGTGCAGATCATCTATAATCATTAATTGCTTATAGTAATGTTGTATGTGAAATTGAAATTATGTGAATTTGAAATATTATGGAATGGGGTGAAATTCTGATTGGCTAATTTGAATTTCACATATGTGAATTGCGAATTCACATAATTTCATTTTCACGTACAACAGTAACAATTGGTCAACTTCAAAATACTATATAAAACAAAAAAAATTTATATTAATATCATTTTTAAAAAATTCACCGATAAGTTTTTATTGTTCATGACTCAAGCTTCAAAACATATCGGCTGAAACCAAGTAAATTTGATTTATTTCCTTTTTTGTTAAAGAAAATCATTACCAAATTTGATCATGAGATTCAAAATATTGTATATAACACGAAAATTATTGCATTTCTGAGCATAACTTTCAAAAATTATGAAAAAAAATTTGAGACAAATTTTTTTTTTAGATTAATAGACTCCACTTTTAAAGCTGAATTGAATGGTGGTGAGTTCTTTACAATCCAATGTGTGGATCACATAATATTTCAAAAATTTTAACTTTTGAGTATAGATGATCTGCACTATAGATTTAAATAAATTTTCACTCAAATTAATTAAAAATAAAAGGCAAAGCAGTTATACTGTTTTAAAAGCTACAATTGGATTTGTGAGTGACACAAAACACAATTAGTGATGCAAGATGCAAGACGCAATTCGTGACACAAGATGTAATTCATGATGCAAGACATAATATTCAAGACACAAGACTGGTGATAGAGGCCAGAATTAATGGTTTAAGTATTTGGGCAATTTTGGTTTAGGCCTAATTTTGCTCATGAAAATTTTCTGGAGAAATTGGCAAAAAGAATCATACATGTAAACTCAAGAAGTTGTACACAGCAATCAATTGTTTAAAGTAATTGATAATATAAATAAATAACTGACTTATTGAGTTGATGTGTGTAATTTGTTTTATTATTAAATTATAACAATGTTTATTACAAAATGAACTATTTGCAAAGAAATAATTTTATATTAACTTTTCTGCCTCTACTCTCAAGCAAGGCTCTGAGTTATTTTTATTTATATGTCAACAACAATGGATCATTACCATTATCACTATTATTCTACTCAAGGATCAAGTGGGAGATGATGCTATTAACCTTAGTTTTGAGTAGAAGGCAATGATGGTTTTTGGCTAGTCTCTACAAAGCTTGGTACATCCTGTTGCACATATATATTTATATATACCAGTGTTTCACATTGGTTTTGAGAAGCATTACAGGTAAGAGTTTAAGAGTCTGAATTAGTTACATCCTTTTGATTCATTCATATTAATTCAAAAATTTTTAAACCTTGTTTAAGTATATTACAAAATAAATTAAACATTCATTATTACTTTTTGAGATTAGAAACAGATTAAACTCTCTTAAGAGTAACAATAATGGATTATGGTGACAATCTAAAATGTATCTAGTCACACAATTTTTTGTTATTATTATACAGAAAAAAATAATGAGATTAGGACATCCTTTTCTAAAATTTATAGTTTATTTTTTTTGATTACTTGACTGTAGGAAAAGTTATGGAAGTTACAATTTACTAGCATGGTGTGGTCATGAGTGAGGCAAAAAGAAATAGAAATAGGCATCACCATCATCCATATCCAACTACCACTGTTCTTCAAATTACATTTCCTTAAACTGCTACTCCTTAAACATTAATTTTATTATTATTTATTTAATTATATATATTCAATTACTTTTAACCATTATTTATAAAGAAAGTTACATTCATTAAAATAATGAAAATCATATTAATATTTCATATATAAAAAATCAATAATTATTATCAACTTGCACTTGTTTTTTATAATGTATTATACATTAATAGAATGATGAATTGTGGATTATTATCATTAATTACCACCACTATTATTTGTGTATGGTGAAATATATGTCATATCAATTGTAAAGATTCTTTTCACATGTTGAAGTCCATATATATATATATAATAAAGATCCAAAAAACCAAAATAAAACTTTTTATATCTTGTTTTTTTAGAACTTGTTGCATCCATATAAAGTTCAGTTGGATTGGTTAATTGAACATTATTAATATGAGGAGTGGACAGTAGAAACAAGGCAACTACAATAGACATTTACCTTGTTTCTATTGTTCACTCCCTATATTAATATTATTTAAAGGTAGTGATGATATCTTTTGGATTTAGTGCTGAATGTGAACTAATCAAATATTAATAGTTATAACCATTCACCTATCATTAAGTCTTTTTTGCTGCTATCAATATTATTATTGTCAAAATTTTCATTTATATTATAAAAGATTTTGAAATGGTTGTATTACTTCTTTCTATAAGGTCTTGTTGCATTAGTTAAATTATGAATTTAATCACATTGACATATTGCAAGTTTTGCTATTATTATAATTTTTATTATTTTATAAATTATTTGGCAATTGTTGAAGAGGTGGTGCTTTTTTAACATGTTAGTTAACATACAGTTCCATCTTGGGTTTTGATGAAAGTGATGGGTTTTCAGGTGTCACAGGAAAGTTTAGCACTTTTTAAAATGAGCATTTTATTTAATAATACTTCAAATATTTCAAATATAATTTTAATTGCATTGTTTTCACGTCTTTTTACATGGATAATAGGAATAGTTTCTTGTTTAATAATTGATGATTATGATTCATCAGTTGATATAATATTTAATGATAATAATAATTTGATACAAAAATATTTTAATTATGCTTTTAAAGGATTATTAAGATGGGATGCATTTTATTTTTTACATATAAGTGAAGAAGGTTATATTTATGAACAAGAGTTTGCATTTTTTCCTTTACTACCTTTATTGGCTAGAGCATTAGGAGACTTTGGTAAGAGATAACAAATTAAATATTTATAAAATAATTTCATCATTAATCCATATATTTTATAATAGCATTCATACCTTTGGGATACTTTTTAACATATACACAAGTATTGTTTTTATCAGGAGTATTAATTACAAATATATGTTTTGTGTTGGCATCAATTAATTTATACAAGTAAAAACAATGAGTTTTTTTCCTTTTTAATTTATTGCCAAATATTAATAATTAATAAAATTTTTAATTCTTTATTTGATTTTAGGTTATCCTTAATCTTATTTAAAGATGAAAAATTTGCGTTTATTTCATCAATATTTTACATATTAACACCATCATGTATTTTTATGACATCAATGTATACAGAGAGTTTATTTGGATTTTTAAGTTTTTTTGGCATGAGATTATTCTATGAGAACAAATTGTTTTTTGCCTCACTAATTTGGTGTTTAGCCTCTTTTACTAGATCAAATGGTATTGTTTATATTGGATTTTATGTTTATGAAGTAATAAAAGATTATTTCAATATTAATGGTAATAATGGTGTTAGCAATAGTGTTGGTGGTACATTCAAGGTAATCAATTAATTTATTTTTTCAAACTTTTTAGTTTATTTGACTTTTAAATAATAACTATTTTTTATATTTTAGATCATATTCTATTATATTAAAATCATTTTGTTAGGATTAATTTCAATATCTGGATTTATAATATTTCAAACATATGGTTATTATCAATATTGTACTGATAATAGCTTAGAAAGAGAATGGTGTAATTCATACTTAATTTATTCATTTGTACAATCTTATTACTGGTAAACATTATTATTATAATATAGCCAGTAATAGTATTATTATTATTATTATTATTATTAATTATTTTACTTACCTAATTTTATTTGATAGGAATTGCGGATTTTTCAAATATTATGAATTTAAACAAATTCCTAATTTTTTACTTGCAATGCCAATGATCTCATTATCTGTTTATGGTATCTTTACTTATATTAAATATGATATTAATAGGATTTTTACATTAGGATTGACAAAAAAAAAGTCCGTTAAAGAAGGTAAATGAAAAAATTATAATGATGATAATAAAAAATAAAATAACCATTTATTAATAAATCATCATCATTTATTAATCCATTTTAGATAATAATATTTTATCTTTTTATTTTTCATCTAAAATTTTACCATTTATTTATATTTGGATTTTTTTTTTGATATATTGTGTTATATTTACACACATACAAATAATTACAAGGTTTTTTTCCTTTTTACCAACAATTTATTGGTTTTCAAGTCATTTATTTATATCATTAAATGATGATGATAATAATAATAATATCAATATTAAAACTACTAGTTATAAATTAGATTATTTATTATTAAGCTATTTTATATTATATGGACTAATTGGTATTATTTTATTTTCCAATTTTTTCCCTCCTGCTTAAAATATTATATTTGTATTTTTTTGATAATATATTTATAATTACAAAAAAAAAAAAATAATAGACATTTAAAAATAAAATTATCATTCTTTATCACACATATTTTCATTTCAGATCTAATAGGCAATTCCATGGTTACACCTGTACTTTGAGCAAATATCATCATTATACATTTTGCAAGGACACCCAAAAATAAACCAGATAACAATAATGCATGTATACTATTTGATTGAAGTATGCCACTCACTATCTTCAATTCAAGCAAATCAATTAATTTTGTACAAGCAGCTAATAATAAAAAATTCAAAGTTTCAAATTAATAAATTAACATAAAAATAAACCACTTTGTCATTTTTCTTACCTTTTAAACTTTTATGAAATGTTTCGATATCTTCAACTGATCATATTATAAATAATAATTTCTTTCATAATTTATTTCCTTTTTTAAGATTCATATTTATCAAATATTCACCTTCAAATCCTTGTTATTGAGATTCTCTGGTTGTTGGATCACATTCTTTAATAATTTCAATGTATTTGAAAAATTTGCAAGAGGATATTCTTCAGGATTTACTTTCTTAAATGCAACATATACTGATCTGGGTTGATAATATGATAATGTTGGTGCTGGCATAACAAACTCCTCAACCAAAAGTCTATCATCTAACCCAACTCTGATTGCATTAACATTGTCACATTTTCCAACAATTGTTCATTAAATGTATTATTGATAATAAACTATATATAATTTTAAATAAAAGATGCATACATTGCCTTAATAAAAACATATAAATCAAAGACGATTTTTGATTTAATATTTATTTTTACCTGAAAGATTACATGTTCATTAAACATATGTTTAATACAACTAACAACATTATTCTGTTTCACTTTCTGATTGCTTTAGAACTTTTGAATAAGGATCCAAATGCTGTTATTTCAGTTATCCTTTCCAATTGTTGTACATAAACTTGCCGTTGATCAATTGGTGTGGTTGCATCTCTACTTGTACTAATAATTGAAGAATTAACAATTCCTGAGATGATGGGTGATGATACTCTAATAGTTTGCATAGCCTAAAAGTCAAAGCTTCGAGGTTGTGAATTCTCTGCTTCAGCTTGATTTTAGGAATAGATGACAAATCAAATGGTTTTTCTTCTGGCTCTGGATTACTTACATATTGTACCAATTGTTTTTCAAGTGCAACAAGTAGAATCTATATAATTGAAGAAAAAATAGTAATATAATTGATATTAATTATAACATCTGTGTATTTTTTCAAAACTAAAATAAATTTATATCTACAATTATATAAATAATAATAAATTTAACAACTGACCATTTTTTCAGCACCAAATTCATCTTCCATTAATTTTAAGTATAATGTTGTTTTGTCTCTTATCATCATTGTCATCCATCTAAACATCTACAAACAAATAAAAAGGTTTTTGTGAAATCAATTATTATTGGTTTTATTTAATTTTATTAATATTGCTATAATTATTATCTAATAAGTAAACTTTATACTTTTTTTTTTACTTCTGGATCATCTACACTTACACCAACAGCAGTAGCTCTTACATTAAAATCATCCAATTATATATATATAGTGAATATATTTTGTAGATGTAATGGTTTTTGGTCTTACAACTCCAAGGAGATGAAGTACATGTACAGATAACTTTGTGAATTCACAATCCTCTATGAACTCACATAATTGTGTTAGGGCTATCAAAAAAAAACATTTCATTATTTAGTAACATGTTTATTTAAACCAAAAAAAAAGTATCAACATATGTTTAATCATATATATAATTTACCTGTTTCTTTGGATTCAGATGTAAATTTAACCAAGCCTCGACCACAACTTGTATCCGCCTTTCATCTCTTAAAATTCCACTTAAAAGCTAAGCATGGCAACTTGTTTTGATGGATATAAAGATCGTACTGCATCTACAATAATCACCTTAAATCCTATTTCTTTTATCTTTCAAGTCTATCGAAAGATTTATATCATATGATTAATCACTGATCTGTAATTTCTGAAATGAATCCTGTAATTTGTTTCATTAACGATCTACACTAGTCTCATTTCCTGTCTAAATTCATAAATAAACCCACACATTATTATAAAATATTGACTTTAAGGGTAAATAATAATAAAGCCTTTATTAACTTTTATAAATATACCTTTAATAATCATAATAGCAAAAGTAGCCACACTTCTGTTTTGATCTAATCAAATTTCCATATCTAAATTACGGGGTTGGACAACAGTAGGATGTGTCAAGGTCAATTTGTTGAGTGTACAAATAGCAGCAAAATGTAATGTACATTTGGCAAAGTAATAATTGCAAAACTAACAAAAAAATTATTAAATAATTAAAATTATAATACTTATTAAAAAATTTCTTTTCTAAATTTACCATTCACAACCAGATATAATTTTTTGATTGTCACATCTTTGATGCTACATATTGCTTTTGCTGATTCAAAATTCACAATATCACTTTTATGTTTTAATCACCCCTCTAAAAGTTCATATGTATGTTATGTTGTCTTGAACTTAATTTCATTAAAGAATATGCCCAGTTAATAAACAAATAAACAAACAAGCCAGTCAAACCAGTCAAATAAAATGTATTAGTAAACCTACTTAGGATCCTCCTCTAAAATTTTGGCCGTATATCTAATTAATAAACAATATGCGAATGGATTATGTAAAATGCCACTACTAGATGGAACGTTTCATCTACTATTACTGCTGCCAGATAATTGCTGTATTAATTTTGTTACTGCCATTCTATCATGTCATAAATCAAATATAATATTCCTAAAGCATGGTATTGATTGGTATTACTAGTAGATTGTGGCATGTTGTATGAAGATCCACTTGAAGAAAATGACGTTAAATATGATGATGCTGCACCAACAAGCGAAGATGGCTTTGAATTTATAACTTCATGAACTTCATTTGCCCATCCCTTAATCACATCTTTTCTTGAATAAAATAAATGATAACTAGAAACCATTGTTGCAGATGATATCAATGGTGTCTCATCAACAATAGCTTTGAGAAAATGTTCAATATTGAAGCCTTAATATTAAATAATTACAATAATCATTATTGTTATTATTAATTTATCAATATATAATAGTAAAAATCATGACTAATAAATAAACATGAATTCAATTAATTATTTACATCAATAATTTTGCAAAGTACTCTAATCCCATTCGCTTTCAGATTTTGGCTGCATATTTTTCATCAACTACTAGTAACCATAATAACATCTTCAGAAACAGTAGACAATTACTTAATAACCAAAGTATACCGTTAACAAAGAGCGACCTATACAATAATAAAATATTCCAGTTGATTTGATGTATTCAAATTTTTATATATTTAAAATTAAAAATGATTTTATTTTATTTTTCTTAATAAAATCTTACATCTTTAAATAATTTAGTTAAACCGAAAAAAGTTCTGTAGCCTCTGTAGTTGCCAATGGCTCACCAATATAATAAGTATATAATTTTGTTCTTGGAATGATTGGTTAGGGAGATAAAGTATTCCTAAATCTAATCTATAAATTTGTTTCCAAATTTACATATAAATTAAACATTTTAGATGATTTTATAAATAAAGAACGCCAAGTTATATACGTCAGCGCAGTAATTAATTGTAAATAGGGAGTTTTTAAGTAAAATCACCTTAATCTTCATTTTAAAGAACAAAAATTTTTAATATTCACGTTTTTTTGGATAAAGGCTTTTTGAAAGATTATAAAGATTATCAGAAATATTTATAATTAAATTTTATTGGCTTGAAGATCATTGCTTTAACCAAATTTGAATCGGAAAACTTCTAAATATACTAACACGAATTAGTTTTTTTTTTCCCACAAATCAAGTATTATGAAGTCTTTTATTGAAATTCCAGAAAATTCACATTTTCCAATTCAGAATTTACCATTTGGTATATTTTCAACTAAAGATAGGGTAAGCATATTAAAGAATTAATTGATTGTAAGCTACATATTAATTTATCAATTAATTATACAATTCTTTTTTTAAAGCAAACACCAAGAGTCGGTGTAGCAATTGGGGATCAGATTTTAGATTTAACAACAATTACTCAACAATTTAAGGAATTTCTTCCCGAATTAATTAATCCTGAACATGTTTTTTCTCAGGTAGCATTAAAATCAAAAAAAAGAAAAGCGAAAGTAATATTTATGATTTAACTTTAAAATTGCTTTTTGCAGGGATCGTTAAATACATTTATGTCATTAGGAAAGCCAATATGGAGAGCTACTAGAAGCTTTTTACAAAAGATTTTGTCCTTTGATGATGATGATCCAGATCAAGCATTACAGCGTTATATGAAAAAGAATTCATTGATTCCGCAAAAGGACGCAAAAATGCATTTACCAGCTGAAATTGGTGATTATACAGATTTCTATTCATCAAAAGAACATGCAATTAACGTTGGGTCTATGTTTCGAGGAAAAGATAAAGCATTGATGCCAAACTGGTAAAATAACAATAATAATGATGATGATAATAACAATAATAATAACAATAATAATTGCAAACAATAATAATAATAACAAATTTTAATTATTATAATTAAAAATGTCTATCTCTAAAGGATTCATTTACCTGTTGGTTATCACGGCAGATCATCTTCTGTTGTTGTTACTGGAACGGATATAATTCGTCCTTGTGGTCAAAGTTTACCACACAAAGATCAACCACCCGTATTCGGACCTTCAAGAAAATTAGATTTCGAGTTAGAATTGGTAAATAATGATAATGATGATGATGATAATGACAATAGTTAATAAAATTAATATATAAATAAATAATTTTTTTAGGCATTTGTTGTTGGCGTTGGAAATAAACTTGGTAAACCAATCTCTATTGAAAACGCAAACGACCATATTTTTGGTGTTGTTTTAATGAATGATTGGAGTGGTAATTGGTTATAAGATTTATCGTTATTGTTATTATTATTATTATTATTATTATTATTATTATTATTATTATTATTATTATAATAAAATTATAATTTTGATTTGAATTCTTTTGTATTACTTTATAACCAAATTAAAAATATTTAAGCTAGAGATATCCAAGGTATTTACTTACAAGTATTATAATTGGAATAATTCAATGAACATTGAAATGTATATTAATCAAAAAATCTTTTCATATTATTAGCTTGGGAATATGTTCCATTAGGTAGGTATGTTTTATTTTAAAAGAAATATCAAAAAAAAATTTTTATTAAATATAATATTTATATATATTATTTATTAAGGTCCATTCCTAGGCAAAAATTTCGGAACAACGATTTCTCCTTGGATAGTTACACTTGATGCTTTAGAGCCATTTTTAGTAAATGGTCCTGATCAAATTCCCAAACCACTTCCTTATCTTCAAGATCAAGGACCATCAGCGTATGATATCAATTTGCAAGTCAAAATGAAACGTAATATGATTTTATTAAAAATATTTTCTCCAATACAACAACAATATTAATTTATAAATTATTATGATTTTCCTTATAGCTAATAATAGCAAAAATTATAAAACTATTACAAATTCAAATTCAAAATATATTTATTGGTCATTTAAACAACAACTTGTTCATCATACAGTAAATGGCTGTAATATGCATACAGGTGATTTATGTGGAACAGGAACAATTAGTGGACCTGTAAGTAAATTACTTTATAACTAAATGAATCAAATAAATCTCAACCATCAATCAATTGGTTTAATTGTCTTATTTATAGTCTGAAGAGTCTAGAGGATCATTATTGGAAATTACTTGGAATGGAGAAAATGAAATAGAATTTGAAAATGGAATTAAACGTAAATTTATTGAAGATGGAGATGAAATTCTATTAGAAGGATATTGTTTAGGAGATGGATATATTGTTGGATTTGGCGAATGTAGTGGTAAAATTTTAGCTAGTCATTAATCAACAGTTTTTTTCCTAAGTCTTGCAACAAAAAATCCTGAAGTGTTTGAATGTATTGGATCAAATCTTACAGTTTTTGATAAGTTAATAATATTATTAATATTCTTTAAACAATTATTATCATCGTCAGTTGGTGTTGTGATAGGAAGAGGAGTGACTGTTTTCATATTTTCAATATTTGGTATTTGTTCTAGTACAGCATTTTGTTCTTTGTTTTGAAGCAAAAACCATTCTATTATTTCCTCATTTTGTTTCCTTGTTAGACTACAAGTACTATATACTAATATTCCACCAGGTTTAAGTAATTCCCATCCATTTTTTAAAAGATTTTTCTAAATAAATTTATTTTCCAACAACATAAGTATTTTGATATAAAAAAAAAAAGAATATATATATTTGAATTGTACCTGAAGATCAAAAAGATTATTTAGTCTTTTTGGGTTTAAAAAATTTTCTTCAAATTTATCCCATCCTAATTTTTCATACTATATAATTTAAAAAGTTAAATAATAATAGTAATAATATTTTTATTAAAAAAAAAAGAATGTATTGATTAACCTTGAGAATATGAACAATGGATCCATCATGTGTACATTCAGCATCTACTATCACCTTATCATACAAATATCTAGGATCTTTAATTTGTTGATCATTTCTAAATATTTTAGGTGAATAGAAAGGTTTGATGATATCATCTTTTGATTGTTGCTTAGTTTTTTTTTCGTCATCATCATCTTTCTTGTCTTCAATTATATTCAAGATTTTTTTAAAATATTTTAGATTACAAGGTGCATAAACATTAAATTTTGTACCATCAGCCAAGAATAGTCTTGCATGATTTATTTTGTGTTTTTTTATTAAACTACGGCATGTTGATAACCTATTTTGTGAAATATCCACTCCAGTAATTGTTCCAAATCCTTTATTATCACCAGCTAGTATATTTGATATCATACATAACTTTGCCCCTAAAAAAAAAAATAGAAAATATTTTTTTATTTCTTTAATTTTTTTTTAAAAAAAAATATTACTATTTACCCGGGGCACAGCATAAATCCAATATATGATCATTTGGCTGTATATCAAGTGCATAAACCGCAACTCCTGAACTTAAATCGATCCCAATTATCTAAAAAACCTAAGTTTATTAATAAATTGCTATTTTTTGAAAAATAGAAAAAAAATTTTTTTACCTCTTTTTCTTTATAACTAAGGAAGGGAATAAAGAAAATAAAAAACAATTAATACGGATGTGTATATTTATGAGTATTTATACATTATGTATATATTATATATTTACGCTTTACAATCAACAATCCTAACATTATTATTTAATCCAAAAAAATCTTTAAAACCATCAACACCCCAAATCTTTGTACCCAATTGATTCTCTAAACTATTTTTAAAATAATCATCATTCTCAATATTATTATTATCATTATTATTTAAACGTAAAATATATCTTGGTAAATTAGTTATTGAGTAGATGGTTGGATTTATATTATTATTTTTTAAAAATTCCAAAAAAGCAGGCGGCAAAGATGAAAAATTGAAATTGTTAGATGACATTTTTTTTAACCAAGAATGATAGACACATGGATGTGTTGATCATGCAGGTTTGTTTTATTGTTTTTCTATTGCCAACAAGGCATCTTTATGTGATACAGGTGGAGAGAAATCACTTCAATATCATTATGCTGATATATTTCTGTTTTCAATCAATTCATTTTTAATTGCTGATCCGCGAATGAATCAGAGGATTCTTGATCGGTGGTGCAAAAATGTGATAAAAACTGTTAATTTGTCAACCTTATATACAAAAAAGTTGCATTATACTTTTTGTGCGTTAACCTTTGCACGAAAAGTTGTATTATTCTTTTGTGCCACAGAGTAATGTAGCTTTTATATGTAAATTAGTTAAAAAATTTTATCTAAAAACATATTTCAAGTGTGATGAAAAAAACTTATTTAATGTGTGCATCTTTTTGTAACGATTTTTAATAATATTGAAAACCTTTTTTTATTATTATTATTATATAAATTTAAATAATTAAATTAAACATATGTACATAAAAAAAAAATTTTTTAAAAAATTATATGTTAACCATTTTTAATGTTTTATTATTATTGATGAAGGTTCTAATGATGACAAGGATAGATACAATGTAGAACATGAGCATATGGCGATACTGGTACAACACAACATAGGAAATTCGTGAGTGCAATGGAGTATTATGCATATGAGCTTCAGATTCGGCCCCATTTCACCAATCCACTTTTACGGTCAGGATGGCTCTTTCATCAATACATAGTTGATATGTACGTCAAAATTGGGTCAAATCGCCTAAATTTCCACTGACATAATCAAAATGAGATCTGAAGTGAATTGTATCAAGGCCTTCAGGATGCATGGTGATAATAATCCAAGTCATATAGGTCGTAGAATATTGCTCCCCGCTTCATTCATTTGGGAATCCTCGTGACATGATACAACAATATCAAGATGCAATGGCCTTGCTGCGTGTTGGCAAACCTGATTTATTCATCACTATGACATGCAACCCAAACTGGATGGAAATTCAAGCTGGTCAAAAGGCTCAAGATCGACCAGATATCACAGGTACCTTTTGCCATAACATTTATTATTTACTATTTATTTTATCCAATTCAATGCAACATATTGATGATTTCTCATTGCTTTCTATAGCATGGGTTTTTCGGGAGAAGTTTCAAGAGTTAAAGAAGGATGTTTTTAAGTATGGAGTCCTTGGACATGCCATTGCACACACACATGTCATTGAATTCCAGAAAAGGGGTCTTCATATGCATATATTTTGGTTATACTTCATCCAGAAGATAAATCACAAACCCCTGATGGCTATGATGACATTGTTTGTGCTGAGATACCTGATCCAGTGATCAACCCCAGAGTGCATGCCACCATTATTGACAGCATGTTTCATGGGCCATGTGGAATGCTGAATCCCAATGCACCATGCATGGTTGATGATGGTACAGGACACAAAAATGTAACTAGGGATACCCCAAACAATTCCAGGATGAACCCATCCAAGGGGAGGACTATTATCCTGTGGAATAAGTCAAATAAATCATGGAAGAAAGATCAATGTGGAGGTTGCATTGGGAGAATGTACATGGCTCATCCAGGTGAAGGTGAGCGATACTATCTTTGTTTACTGTTGACAAAAAGTACCATTAATTTTAACCGGTTAACTGGTTACGAACAGATTACCATTGCCATATTTAGTTAAAGTAAAATAAAATTTTCATAAATTTAATTTACAATAAAAATCTTTCTTTTTAAAATAAAATTTTGCTGACAATTTCAGAACTTAATCTAGTCCTTTTTGCAGTTATTTGATTACCAGCATCGTTAAAAAGTCTTTCAGATGGCATAGACATTGTAGGTATTGAAAGATATTTGACTGCAATAATATTTTTGTTTTATTATTTGGTACACGAAATTTAGGATCTATTTTCTTGATAAATCTTTTAAAACCTTTCTGTGTAGCATATTAAAAGGCAAAGAGTCTAATACAACCCATTCGGCTACAACAAGATGTAATTCATTCATCTTGTGTTGTGGATGTTCTTTAGTTTTTTCAAACACATCTGCTAATTTTGGTTGTTTTAAATCGATTTTCTAAAAAAATTTGAATTATGATAAATAAATACATTTATTAAACAAATAATGTAAAATCTAAACATACTTCAG